TCATCTTTCTCCCACGGAACAGCTGGTAGTTTTGAACTGCTGATCCTGAGGTTCGCAACCCAATTTGTAACCACCACGCTACCAGATCTCCTTGGTCTCAGGATATCTTTGGAGGGCAATAGCATTTTCAGGGCAGATTGATATGATTGCTGCTATTGTTATGTACCATTGAGTGAGTTTAGACTCATAGTGACCCTGTATAGGAATTCTGAGGAAAGGTGGTGGGTTTGGACTGCTGACTTTGTGATTAGCAATCCAGTCCTTATCCTAAAGCCCCACATCAGGACTAAATTGATACAGTGCTATTGTTAGGTGTCATCGAGTCAGTACCGACTCATAGTGGCCCTATGCACAACAGAACGAAACACTGCACAGTCCTTGGCCAGCCTCACTTTCGTTGCCACACTTGAGCCCATTGATGCTGCCACTTTGCCAATCCATCTCAATGGGGGTCTTTCTCTTTTTCTCTGACCCTCCACCTTACCAAACATGATATCCTTCTCCAGCAACTAGTCCCTCCTGACAATATGTCCGAAGTATGAGAGATGAAGTTTGGCCATCTTGGCCTCCAAGGAGCACTCTGGCTGCACTGCACTTCTTCCAACACAGATCTGTTGGTTCTTTTGGCAGTCCATGGCACTTTCAATATTCTCCTCTAACACCATAACTCAAAAGCATCAATTCTTCTATGGTCTTCCTTATTCACTGTCCAGCTTTCACATGCATATGAAGTTATTGAAAATACCATGGCTTGGGTCAGGCGCAACCCAGTCCTCAAGACAACTTTACTCTTCAACACTTTAAAAAGGTCTTGTGCAGCAGATTTGCCTAATGCAATATGTCATTTGATTTCCTGACTGCTGCTTCCATGAGTGTTGATAGTTGATCCAAGAAGGATGAAGTCCTTGGCAACTTCAATCTTTCCTCCGTGATAAGAATGTTGTTTATTGGTCCAGTGGTGAGGATTTTTGTTTTCTTTACATTGAGATGCAATCCATACTGAAGGCTGTGCTCTTTGATCTTCATAAGTAAACGTTTCAAGTCCTCTTCACTTTCAGCAAGCAAGGTTGTATCACCTGCATATCGCAGGTTGTTAATGAGTCTTCCTCCATTCCAGATGCCATGTTTTTCTTCATAGAACCCAGCTTCTCGGATTATTTGCTCAGCATACAGGTTGAAAAAGTATGGTAAAAAAAATACAACCTTTTCACACATTTTTCCTAATTTAAACCATTCATTGATATGGTTAGTAGTTAATTTATTCCATATTATGGAAGCCCCGGTAGTAGTCTAGGTAATGTGAGTTACATGGAAGCTGGGAATTCTGCTAGCAGATGTGCTCCATAGTAACAATAGGTAGGTGAAGATACACTGACAAATAGCAAATCATAATATGTGGTGGTGGTTAAGTGCTGTTGAGTCAGTTTTGACTCAAAACGACCCTGTATAGGGTTTTCAAGGAGCAGCTGGTAAGTTTGAACCACCAGTCTTGTGGTTCAAACTGACCATGCAGTCCAGGGCTTTATCACACAGCACCACACCAGGACTCCAGTATAAAAGATAAAGTGTACTTATAAGTCAATGTGTGACGATTCACTAAATGATAGTTAAGGTGAATTTGTATGTTTAACAGGACTTATAAGGTGTAATCTTACCAGTGTAGAAGTAAAGTTGCAAATGGTATAAAAATTAGGGAAAATATTTTTTACTATAAAATATTAAACTTCTAATTATCATATATATTTTGTACTTTTATAGCCTATGTTTTGAACTTTTTGCTTTATTTTCCGGTGTCCCACCTTTTTCCACATGTGTGAAGACCATTATAAACCACAAAGCACACACACAAAACATTGTAAAATGCAAAGCCACTATCATCATATAATTACTAGACAAAAGAATTCTCGCAGTTACATGGGCTACACCCTCACCATCCCCATTGAGTCTACCCATTCATCTCTATATAGGGTTTCCAAGACTCTAAATCCTTACAGAAGACAGCCTTGTATTTTTCCCAAGGAACTGCTGGTTGGTTTTAACTTTCAACATGGTGGTTATCCTACAGTATCAGTATTATCCTGATCAGTACTTATCCTACAGTGTCAGTATTATCAAGTTTTACGAAAACTGAACACATCATATTGCTTTCTCTTAGAACAAACCTATACATCAGCTCCTCACTTATCAACTTTTCTGTTTGCTAACATTTCACATTTCCTACAATAGTAAAAAGTCTACTATCTCGGACTATTTTTTTTCGCTAATGATGTACGTCTAACGATAACAAATGTCAAGGTGTGAGATGAGAGTAACATTGACTGTGATAGTTAAGGTTATGTATCAACTTGAGTGGGTCACAATTCTCAGTGGTTTGTGTAACGATGTAATTTGGGAGTTACGTAACAGTATAGTCATCCTCCATTTTGTTATCTGATGTAATCATCCTCCATTTTTCTGTAGCACCGATTATTGTGTAATGCACTGGTCTTTGGTACCTATATACATCAGTAAGTGAGGAGTGAGTTATGTTGTTTATGTATGTATTTTGATCATTACAGTATATTTTACTTTAAAAAAAGGAATATGAATTTTACTTTAAACTTGAGACATTGAACTCGTCTAAGAGCACTATTTGAATTAAATATAACAACATCTTATGATTTGTTGCACATTTATAAAGTGATGTCAGCATCTGTAATAAAAAGTGATGTAACTAAAAAATGGAAGTATTTTTACATGATATTGATTGGCATTATAGTGTACCTGTACCTTTTTTTTTTTTTTCTCCCTGTTAATAACTATTCCACTTAGTGGGTGTTTAATTAAAGTACAGTTTTAAGAAGTGACCAACACATTCTCATTTGGTCAAAGCAAGTTTATTTACTTACCCATGCTAACATCTAATGACTCTCTAAGGCATTTATCTCAATCGTAAATAAATATGGATAACTTTATCTCCTCCAGAAATTTCAGTCATTCTTTTGTCATTTTGATTTTGTTAGTAGTGAATGAAGAATATGATTCATTAAGTGTGGAAATCTTCATATTCATAGCTTTTTTTTTTTAATTTCTAAAGTTTCTAGAAATCAATCCTCCTAATTTTAACTTTTTAGTTGTAATAGTTGCAGATTTTTCAAGAGCATATTATGGGACCTTATTGCATATATAAAAGTAAACAGATAGTTCCCTTTGGCTATATGCAAACCACAGACATCCAGTACTTGGTTATACTGTAGCAGAAAGGATGTGGTGTCTAAAGGAGATTGAAAATTAACAGTTTTTGGTCTCCATGAAAAGGAAAGAAAGACTTTCCTTGGTGAAATAACCACAAAGATCTTTCAAGAAAACTAAATATTAACTGGAGCCCTGGTATGGTGCTCTCTGCTGACCATAAGGTTGGCAGTTCAACCCCACCAGCCATTCCTCAGAAATCCTATATGGGGTCGCTGTGAATTGGAACCAACTGGATGGCACTTAACAACAACAATAACAAATATGAACTATGTGCCTAACCCTTCTTAATAGGAACTTGGAACCAAAAGACAGAAATGTCAACCATCATACAATATATTCTAGTTGGGTAGACAAACTAAAAAAGCCTAGCTAAGTAAAATGGATAATGTGTTGGATGATTACAAGTGCTATATAGAAAAATAAATCACAGAAAGGGATTACAAAATATTAGAACATTACAGTTTCAAGCAGGGTGGCTAGCAAAGACCTGACAGAGTAGATATAGTGGAGATGAGGGAATTCACCTTTATGGTATCTATTGTTGTTGTTGTTGTTGTTATGTGCCGTGGAGTCGGAACCGACCCATAGCGACCCTGTACAGGGTTTCCGAGGGTGTAAATCTTTACGGGAGTAGAAAGCCTCATCTTTCTCCCGCGGAGCAGCTGGTAGTTTCGAACTGCTGACCTTGCGGTTCACAGCCCGAGTCGTAACCACTACGCTACCAGAGCCCGAGAGTATAATGACAAATGAACAACGAAGAAGTATATAGGCCTAGAGTAAAAGAATGGGATTGCTATTAATTGAGGTGGGGAATACTGCAGGAGGACTGGACTTTGGTGAGTAAGATTAGAGCTATGTTCTGGGTGTGTCTGAAATGGCTGTCAACTAAATGGATATGTCAAGTACATAGTTGGATATTCAAGGGTAGCATTTTAGGGAGAAGTTTGGCAGGAGAAATAAATATAAGTAAGTTTTTTATTTATGCTGGTAGATCATGCTGGAAAGTAAGAGAATGAAAATCAGGAAAGGAAAGACTTTAGGGAAGAAAAACTGGACTTGTAATTAGAGGAAAGGAAACAGAAAGGGAGCTTTTTGTCAGGGAGAATGTTATACAGTTTATATAATATACAGAAAGAAACCTGCATCCTTACCTGTTTAAAAATTCTTTTTAAATTTTTATAGAGCATGTTATCCAAGAACTATTTATTGACTCATAAATGAGTATATTTCTTTGCAAAGTTGATCTCGTTAGCTGGTATTTATTGATGAAACTTAATTTTGTTAGTGTGTTTTCTCTTCTTGACATATTAGCATTGTTGCTTATGAACAAAAGGAATTTAAAGTTGATTGTGCTTTACTTCCATGGGCATTGAACATTCTACCAGCCTTAGAATCCAAAATGATTTTCTGTTTTGTGTGAAAGATTGGGACAGGCTGAAAAACCAAACTGAAAATTAATGTCTTATTTCTAAAACAGAATTTTCTTCTTAAAAATTGACTATTTAAGTGAGTGTCATTTTTAACCTTTGATTGTAGCTCACTCTAGAAACCTCAGGAGCTTAAGGAACTCTTCAAAACTGAGTGATTAGTCTGTGCTTTTGTATTTCTTTGTCTGCTTGCCTCTTAGAGTCTTCTCAGAGTATATTCTTTATTTTTAGTTGATTTTTAAAATAAATTATGTTGTTTAAATGCATATAGTATACTTATATTTGTGAATTACCAATTTAGGAAATTCTGTTTATTGATTGCAATATCTCTTTTTCTAGGGAACAAAAAAAGAAGATATTGAAGGTGAAGAGGAAGTGTCTGGTTTAATTCAGCCTGCAGAAGTGTTTGCTCCCAAAAGCCTTGTTTTGGTATCCAGATTAGATTATCCAGAAATTTTTAGGGTAAAGAACTCATGTCTATCATTATTGCTTGTATTATTATGTGAATCTATTTTGAGTGAACCATGATGACTAGTTCTTTGTATTTAAAATGCTTTTATGTTAATTTAGGAATTCATCAGTAAAATAAAATTCATGTAAGCAGAACCAAATTCATGATGGATTAAATAAAGTCCTGAAAAAATTTATGTGACTATTTAAATTTCTAAGGATGCTGTATTTGTTTAAAATATTTCCCATATTTTGAAACCTAAAGAAATAACTTGATTACTTGTATGAAATTTAAATTACATTATTAGTATAAAATTTTGTATGTTTATTCACAGTCTTGAGTAAATGTTGTTGCTAAATACTGTCGAATTGGTTCTGACTCATAGTGACCCTGTATAGGGTTTCCAAGGAGTGGCTGGTGAACTTGAACTGCCGACCTCGCAGTTCAAACTGACCTTGAGATCGAGTGTTCCTCCTAGGGCACTACATCAGGAATAGAATGGCGATTTGAGATTTCAACTGATTCTGCTTAAAATACCACCAACATAGCTTTAAAATCATATTTACTACCAAATATTTTCTTTTTTTAGACACTCAGAATTTTCAAATTTAAGAACAATTAATTTATAAACATTTGTACTGATGTGCAGTTGTTGGTAAAAATGCTTTATATTGTTGAGATTATATACATTGTGGAAAAATTGTCTTTTAAGATTTCAATGACAGTGGCTAATCCCTAGCAAATAACTAATTTTTCAGAGTCATAAATTTCAGTAAAATGGAATATTCACAAAAATTGTATTTTGTCTTACATTGTACCATCTACCTTCTTCTAAACTTAAACTTGTATTATATTTTGTGCTCTAATTTATCTATTTTGCTACCCTTTGTAATAATTCACAGCAGTTAGATTACTCTGTTGAATAAGTGTTCTGAATTTAATGTAAGTCATGAAACAAAATTAAGTTTCTAGTTTTATCTTGAAATATGGGGATTTATAGAATAAGTGCAGATTTGCTAGAGTCATTATCTGAGCACAAACACTGGTTTTACAAATTATGTATTTCTGCTCTCTATAAACTTATCTCAGGAGCTCATTTAGAGCTTCTGGTTCCAGAGGAAAATTTAATAAACTTAATAACATTTGCTGCTTAAAATTTATTCCATGTCCACTTAGACTATACTTTACTGTGTTCAAAGAAAAATTTTCCTACGAGCAGATGTCACAACAATCTATTCCTAGTGTTTACTTTTTCCGTGAAGTAACTACGTGCATTTTTCTTGTTGCAGGCTTGCCTGGGTTTGATCTATACTGTGTATGTGGACAGTCTGAATGTCTCCTTAGAAAGTCTCATTGCAAACCTTTGTGCGTGCCTTGTTCCTGCGACTGGAGGGTCTCAGGTAAATAGCACAGAAAGAGAGGTAGAGATTGTTCCTTTACCCCCAACCCCTAGCTAATTTAATTTATGAGGAAAGGGAAAGAAAAAATTCTTTGAATATTTTCATTTTAAAAGAGGATCCTAATTTGGTTAGCTATTGCTTTCTACAGACCCAAGATTCAGTAATTTTCCTAGGTCTCAAGGTCAGTTTTACTGCAGGGTTCACCTTTCACGGAGCATTATTAGATGTCATATTTTGTATAACCCAAACTATAATTTACATTTTTTGAAAGGACTGTTTTATAACAACATTTAAAAATGCATTTTTCTTATCTTACTCCTCTTCATAGTTACATCTCATTTTTATTAAAGTAATTTTTGAGTGATGAAAATTAGCACAGAACATTAAGAAAACCTTCAGCACAATTCTTTGAGTCTGAATAGATTGATATATTTGTTAATTTCCCAGCATTATGGAGCCCTGGTGGTGTATTGGGTTATGTATTGGGCTGCTAACTTCAAGGTCAGCAATTCTAATCCACCAGTCCTTCCATGGGAGAAGGATGAGGCTATCTGCTTCTGTAATTGTTGTTGTTGTTGTTAAGTGCCGTCGAGTCGGTTCCGACCCATAGCGACCCTATACAGGGTTTCCGAGGGTGTCCTTAGAAAACTTGTGCAGGGTCACTAAGAGTTGTAACCAACTCAACAGCACATAACAACAACAGAGCTATACTTGATCCTAAAATTATTGTTTTGTATGCATGTGGAAATATTAATAAAATGATTTGCATTTGAGCTTTGAAAGAACTGAGCTTAAATTTTCAAGTTGCCGCCGTTAGTAATGAGCACTGGTGTTGCATTGTAGGATAAGCACTGGACTTATAACCATGGTAACCATAGTGTCGGCAGTTCTGACCCCCTAGCTGCTCTAGGAAACCTTTTACAGCATCACTATGAGTTAGAACAGACTCAAGGGCACACAACTACCTTTAGTAATTGTAAAGTTGGCCATTGTCCAAAATCACAACTCTTTAGTGGGAAGTTTAATTTATACATTAAAATTTCCCAAGGATTTTTTCACAGATGTGTTGAAATTGATGAATGAGAACGTTAAACTCTCTTACTGAATTAAAACTGTCTCATCATGTCTTTACGTCTTAAGATCCTTCATATTTAATTTGTCTCTGAAGTAAGAAAATAAGAATCTCAGCAGCTATAGTTAGTAAAGTCTATAAGGCCAGCATACTAGCATAAACTCTTGAATTCTAAAAGTGAATGTTATAGTAAAACCTGTATATGGTTTCTGAGGCTTCTCTGTCCTTGCAGCTAGTCCAGTACTTCTCCTACAGCACCACACCAGGAGCCCTAACAGTGATAAGTTGATAATATTCTTGTTTATACTTTTGTACAGTTGGGAAAGAGGACAGCCTTCTACAAGTCACATTGTTTCTTTTCACTCTAACAAAGGTGTTAGTTCTAATAGAAATTGCCGTCTTTTGCACTTTACCTTTTGGACTGTGTTCTGTCTTCCCCTAGTCTTTTGTTACTCTTAATTTGTTATCCTTTTTTCCTTCCTGTTCTCCCCCTCATTCTTCCTGCTCCAAGAACAGAATATTAAGTGTGAGTTTGGTCAGTGTTGGACCTAAACAAACAATGCAGAATTGTTTATGAGCTTTTAACTATGATGGGATTTTTTGCTGACTTTTTCATTTTATTGTTTTGTTTTAATCAAGTTTGATAGTAAATTTTTTTAAACTTATATCTACTACATTTTAACTTTGAACTACTGAATATTCTTGTATACATATGACATGAATACAACTAATTCTAATGGTAACTTGTTATCCTTTGTACCTCTTAACGTGATTTTATATGGTCATCTATTGGAATTTGACATATATTTTTATGTTTGCTAACAATCCATTTCTGTGGCATCAGTTTGAATAACTACATTGAAAAATAGAGGCCAAAAGAGCTTAATTTGTTTCCCTTTCCCTCCAGTATTCTGATGTTATCTTATTCTTGGTCAAACATGTTGACTTTAAATGTTAATGACTAAAATGCCAGTACATTTTTTCCTTAAAGTACATTCATAGAATCCAGAATGTGTGTTTTATCTTAGTAAGAGAAAAGAATGTATCTGAAAAAAAAGTTATTTACATATATGTGTGTGTTTTTCCCTCCATTCTGCAGAAGCTATTTTCCTTGGGTGCAGGAGATAGACAACTGATCCAGACTCCTTTACATGATAGTCTTCCTGTCACAGGCACTAGTGTGGCTCTCCTGTTCCAGCAGTTGGGTATGTCTCTCTCCCATTCCCAATTTCCTTTTTACAGAAGCCTATGAAAAGCAGCGATGTATTTTAAGTTTAAGCTCACATCCCCTGTCATAAATCAAGAAATATTTTGGGGGTTCTAGCATAACCTAGGAGTCCTGATACATTGCTGTAGGATAAGCACTGGACTGCTGACCACTCCTTGGGAAACCCTGTACAAGGTTTCTGTGAGTCAGAACCAACTCAACAGCACATAAACAATGACAACAAGTATAACCTAGGACTCCATGAATGATGCAAGTGGGTAGCATGCTTGGCTGCTAACCAAAAAGTTGGCGATTTGACTCCATCCAGAGGTGCCTTGGAAGAAAGCCTTGGTGGTCTACTTTCAAAAAAGCTGAAATACTGTGAAAATACTATAGAGCACAGTTCTAGTCCGACACACATTTCATGACAATAATTTACTTTGTCTTCTCAAACTGCCCTTCCAAATCTTCTGTTCATCTATTTTATTTCATCATTTCTTCTAGTTGCTTTAGCTTCTCTACATTCAAGAGCATGTTTCAGAGTTTCTTCTAATGTACATTTTGGTCTTTTCTTTCTTTCCTGTCTTTTTAATGACCTTTTGCTTTCTTGATATATGATGTTCTTAGTTTCAAATCTGTTCTTGAGGTGATCTCTAAATTCAGGTGAGATATACTCAAGGTGGTATTTTGGCTCTTGTTGACTTGTTTTCTTCATCATCAACCTGAACTTGCATATGTGCATTTGACGGTCTGTTCCAGTTTGTTCCCCCGGTGTTGTTCTGGTTGATGATACTGTGCATCTCTATTGTTTCTTTCCATAGAGTAGTTGATTTGATTCCTGTGTATTCCATCTGGCAGAGTCTATGTGTATTGTTGTTGAAAGGTATTTGCAACGAAGAAATCATTGTCCTTTCCAAATTCTATCTTGTGATCGCCAATGTAGTTTCTATCACCCAGGTCATATTTCCCAACTACTGATCTTCCCTCTTTGTTTCAAATTTTCACATTCCAATCACCAGTAATTATCAGTGCAGCTTGATTGCATGCTTAATCAATTTCAGACTGCAGAAGTTGGTAGAATTCTTCCGTTTCTTCATCATTGGCTTTAGTGGTTGTATAAATTTGAATAATTGTCGTATCAGCTGGTCTCCTTTATAGTTTTATAGATATTATCCTAATACACACAAGGAATCCTGGTAGTATAGTGGATTTCAGTGTGGTTCACTAACTGCAGGGTCAGCAGTTCGAATCTACCAGTCACTCCACGGGTTAAAGGTGAAACTTTCTACTTCTGTAAAGATAACAGCCTCAGAAACCCTATACAGGATTGCTATGAGTTGGAATCAACTCGACAACACTCCACCACATTAACAGGTTTTCCTTATAAGTTTATAGTTATAATTCTATTCTAGACAGAGTGCTATTTGTGCTTTTGCCCATAGACTCCTTCGGTATTTATTGCAAGTCGAATCTTGAATGTGTCCTTCAGTTCTTTCAGCTTGAGAAATGGCAACTAGTTCTTCCCTTTTGTTTTATAACTCCAGGTCTTTACACATTTCATTAAAATACTTTATTTTGTCTTCTCAAGGAGCCCTTTGAAATATTCTGCTCATCTCTTTTACTTCATTATTTCTTCCATTCACTTTAGGTATTCTATATTCAAGAGCAAGTTTCAAAGTCTCCTGTGTCAGCTATTTTGGTATTTTCTTTCCTGTCTTTTTAAGGGCCTTTTGTTTTCCTTATGTGTGATGTTCTTCATGTCATCACTCAACTTGTCTTGAGCTTCAATAATTAGTGTTAAATGTGTCAAATCTATTCTTGAGATGGTCTCTAAATTCAAGTGGGAAAGGCTCAAGTTTGTAGTTTGATTCTCTTAGACTTGTTTTCATTTTCTTCAGTTTCCGCTTGAACTTGGGTGTTTGATGATGTATGTGCTCCACAGTTGGCCCATGGCCTTGTACTGACTGATGATATTGAGCTTCTCCATTGTCTCTTTCCACAGATGTAGTCTTTTAAATCTGTTTATTCTGTTTAAGTGAAGACCACATGTATATAGTTGTCATGTAGGTTGTTGAAAAAATATTTCCATACTTTGGTCTTAAAAAATTCTATTATGTGATCTTAGTGTTGTTACTGCTTTTGAGACCGTATTTTCCAACAAATGAGCCACCTTCTTCGTTTCTGACTTTAGCATTCCAAAGTGGTAATTTTCTATCATCTTGAATTGCATACTTGATCAGTTTCCAGCTGCAGAAGTAGGTAAAATTCTTATTTTTTTTTTTTTTCATTTTGGGCATTAATGGTTGATGAATAATTAGGATAATAGGTATATTAACTAGTTTTCCTAGCACTGTGGGTTAATGAGCAGAACTGCAAAGTCAGTTTGAACCTCAAAGTCAGTCATTCAAGCTCACTGGCCACTTTTTGGAAACCCTATACAGGGTCAGTATGGGTTGGAACCAACTCGACAACACTTAAGAACAACAACAACAGCAACTAGTTTTCCTTGTCATTGTTAAGTGCCATTCTTTGTGGGCATAGGGATAGTATTGTTTTCCTGACAACTTTTTACTTCAAGTTTGATCTTGAAATGTTCTTTTTGACAATGACACTGTTCTTCAGTTTGTCATTCCTGGAATAGTAGACCACATGTTGTCTGATTCAAAGTGGCCAATACCAGTCCATTTCAGTTCAGTGATAGTTAGAATATTGATGTTCAAGTGTTTTATTTTTTATTTTTTTGCAGCAATTTTCCTGCTTTGTAAATTCCGATTTCTATTTATTAATGGATGCTTGCATTAGTTCTCACTTTGAGTGCTTCCCAGCTTGAGGGGCTATCTTCTTCTGGCACTATATCAGACAGTGTTCCATTTCTATTCACAAGGCTTTCACTGGTCAATCTTGTGAATATATTTAGAACCATCCAGTTGTACACTTTAAAAGTGTGAGTATTGTGTGAATGTTTCAATAAAGAAAAACATGTTAGAGCATTGCAAAATAACTCAGGATCCATATTGAGGACACTTGGAACTGATTTAACAAGATGCAGTTTGACTTTCAAAGTTGATGATAGTAATTGCAATGAAACCTAAGCAAATATTTTTAAATCTATGAGTTTATAATATTATTAAAATAAAAAAGAATCAATCCATTATCCTAAAATCTTATCAATAAAGGAAAAGAAACAAGCATTTATTCTGCCCTGGCTTTATGAACAATAGTGCGGAGTAACTCGATAGTAGAGAAGGAGAATTCTCTTTGTTTAAAATTAGTCTACTTAATAGATAGACGCAGTGGCGGTTTCGAGTCGGGCTTCTAACATCAGGGTCAGCAGTTTGAAACTACCAGCTGTTCCGCAGGAGAAATATGAGGCTTTTTGCTCCCGTAACAATTTACAGCCTTGGAAACAGTATGCAGCGTCGCTATGAGTTGGAATCAACTCCATGGCACACCACTACCACCACCATTTATTAAATGTAAAAGAAATGATAGAGATAAAATGTCATTGTTTTATAATACCCAACAAGTAGAACTATATAGACCAAACATCAACAGCTATTATCACAAAAACAGCCAGACATTGTATGCCTAATCTTGCCAAAACTAATGATAGTTTGCAAGTAGCAATAAACTTGAATCTGACCGTAGGAATTACAGAAGAGAGACAAAGACATTGACCTGTAGCAAGAAATGCATTTACCAAAATCTAGACTGTCTGAAACTCCTTAAGTCTTATATCCCAGGTTTTTAAATAAGTAAATTGTAAGGAAATGAACAAATGAAGCAGGAATTGCTAGATTAAAAGAGATTTGATAAAAATAAAAAATAGTTCATAAATATTAAGAGCCAATAGCACATAGTAGTGGATAGTCTTCCCTAGAATGTAAGATCCATAGGCTATGGATTTTCATCGATTTTGTTACCTGATGTATACTTAAAGACCCAAACTGTGTCTGGCACATAATCACATTCAATAAATATTTCTGGAATGATTGACTTAAAAAAAAAAAAAAAGATTTGAAATAATGCTCAGTTTTTCAGAGAACAAGCCTCTGTATCTAGTATCTAGAGTGATACAGTTTGGTGTTGAAACTGTCTATAGAGCATTAGACAAGTATGAAGATCATTCTGCACAACCCTGAGATAGAAGAACTACATGGTGCCCAGCTGCCACTTCCAGCTACTCTGAAAGGGATCACTATAGAAGGTTCTGAATAGAGTCGGGGTAAAAGTGGGGAACAAAAATCAAAATCATAGAGATGAGGCTTACTGGTCAGATAGACTTGTGGAGCCTCTGAGACTATAGCCTTCAGTCACCTTCAGATCTGAAAGTGAACTCACTTCTGAGACTCAATTTTCAGGGAACTAATAATACTAGTGGGGAGTCCTGATGTGGCACTGTAGGATAAGTACTGGACCACAAAGTCAGTTTGAACACATGGTCGGCGGTTCAAACTCACCAGCTCTTCCTCAGAAACCTATACAGGATCGCTATGAGTCAGAACCAACTTGAAGGCACTTAACAACACATGCTCACTTTAGAATAACCATATAGGATCAAAAGAGCGGCATTTTTAGAAAAGAGGAATGAAAACAGGAAACACAGGAAGGAAGTGGGATAAGTGATGTTTACATTGAATGAATTATAATCAATGTGATGAAGCACAATGCGTATAATTTGTTAAATGTAAAACTGATAACCTGCTCTATAAACCTTCATCCAATTAGTTCACAATAAAAAGTTTTTTTTAAAAAAATGAAATTGAAATACGTTCCCAAAATGTATTTGTTCAAACATTTGAAACCATGACTATAAGAACTGGAAGATTTAACACTAAAACCAAATTATGCTTCAGATATGCAACTTTAATGTAGTTAAATGCTATTAGATTATAGTACAAAAGGAGCAAGGTAGCAAAGAAAATGTAAATATTTTATTTGAAAAATGTCAGTAATTGACTTGAGATAATGTTTCTGTGATAATTCCACAGTACCTGA